AAGATAACAAGCGTTCATTTCCATAGAATGCTACACCCGCACAGCAGGACACTTGGGCTGCAGCCAGGCACCCGGGGACGTGTTGCCACTCACCTTCGGGGTAAGGGCCGTTTAGGAGTTTAGGGTTGACGGCTGAAGGTGCAGGTTTCCGACTTAGACCCTAAGCCCTAAGCCCTGAAACCTGAAGGCTAGACCTAAACCGGGAGACATGAAAAACACCGACAAGGCCATACGAGTATCCAGACGACTCTTCTGCCCACGCTCTTGTAGAGACCGTGAGAATGGGAAAACAGGTGCATGCATGCACGCACACACACGCACAGACCGGCACATACATACATACATACATACATACATACATGCATCAATACCCATAGGCCCCTAAGTAGTTCCTTTTTATGGTTTATATTTAGAATCCGAAAAGGTAATTCCAAACAGGAACTACTTAGGGGCCAAGGGGTACTGTATAGAGCAGTCCCTAAAGTAAACCGTGAATCTAGCCTCAATAAATCTAGAGATGCCTAACCCTCAAGCCTTAACAGCCCAAGCCATAAATACCCTCAACCCGAATCTGCAACTCTGTGAATGCCCTGGACGCGCTTGTGTCAACTCGTATCGGTTCAATGTTAAGCCTTTGGAGGGGCTTTGAACTGTGCTTTCCGTCCCATGCGCACGAACACCTGGTAGTTACGGTGACTTGGAGAACCACGGTGACCTCGGAAAACCTCGATGTGATCTCTGCGTGCGAAAACGCGTACTTCCCATGTTTGTGCTTGTTCCGTAGACGCGGTACTAACATGCACGAAGATAGTACCCATGCCCATTCACACACGTATCCTAGCAACAGATTACACTCCGGGCATGCTCTCACCACCCTCCGATGAAGTAATGGCGGGACCTTAAGAATTAGAAGAAGGTTTTGGGGCACATCCTATACTATATTTGTGATAAGGCTCCCCAAATTCTTATGGGTAATTCTCCAGGCCCCTATATTAGGGGTTTAAGGCTTCGGGCTAAGAGGCCTGAAACCTCTGAAGAGCCACAAGCCCTTGGAGTGCCACCGGCCTGGTCTGCGCCGTCCTTCCGCAGTCGTCTAAAGCTTCATAGAGCTATAAACCCTACCCATAGGCTCCGTTGTAGTTCCTTTTTTGTGGTTCATGTTTAGGATCCTAATCAAGTAATCCGTAGTAGTTCCTTTTTTTGTGGTTCATATTTAGGATCCTAATCAAGTAATCCCAAAAAGGAACTACTTAGGGACCTATACGGGTAATCCCTAAACTTTGCAGTTCACGGTCTGCAAAGTTTATTAAGGGTTTAGGATACTGTTATTATACCGTAGCTTTTTAGGATTTCGGATTTTTCATACTGTTATTATACCGTAGCTTTTTAGGATTTCGGATTTTTCATCGGTTTGAGGGCGCACGGGGGTCTCTGATAGACCCCTGAACCCAGAAGATCCTGGCACAAAGAGCCAAGAGACCTTTGTTTTCCCAGTCGTGAAGCGCTAAGCCCGACTGCTTGATGTGTAGGCCAGCTTCTTTGGCCCTAAACCCTAAAACCCTAAGGCCTATAACCCTACCAAACCTCAAAAGCCCGCCCCATGCCGCTCCCCAAACCCGCATACCGTAGGGCCCTTCATAATTAGAATAGAGTCTGTTGGGCTCCTTAATAGTATATAATCATAAGAAGGAGCCCTAAGGAATAATATTGGCAATTATTTCCTTAAGGACCAAATGACCCTTAAAAAGTACTGGCCCTATGCCAACATACTATGAATCACCATATGGTATATGAGCCCTAAACCCTTTTAGGCCTCTTTTCGTCCTTAAGGTTATTAAGCCTCTATATTACAACACAGACGGTCCAGACATGAGCTCCCTTCTTTCTCAGCTCTTTGCTGCGTTTTGGGGGCTTCAGAAAGCGCGCCGGAGCTGTTCATGAGGCGCATGGCGGGTGCCCAGCATTTTGCTGCAAGTGGAAGTACGGCGGATCTTCCAAGTTGAGGTCACGTCTGAAACCACCCTAAACCCAAAACCCCAAAACCCTCTATACCCTAAACCCTTTACCCTAAATCCTAAACCCTATACCCTAAACCCCAAAACCCTAAACTCACAAAGAACCCAATAAACCCTAGACCCTCAAAGAACTGCAGCTTAGATCTGAGGACCCTGCAGGCCGGAATATGTGGCCACCCCGAAGCCCTGTCAAAGCCCCCAAGCACTAAACCCTACAGACCTTGTAATTGCTGAAGCCCTAAACCCCCTAAACACTAAACTGGTCTTGCAGAGTCTGCGTGCGAGCGTCTTTTGGCATGGGTTTAGGGCTTAGGGTTTCGGGTTTAGTCTGAACAAGCTTGCTCGCCACTTGCAGCAGGCTTAAAGATCATTGAGAGCGAGCAGTAGGGCTTGAGCTGGCTTCCCCTGATGGCAGACCAAGTCTTTCGCTAATCCTTATAAACTTGCCTCGCCAACGCTCCATAAAATGCGACAGGAACTACTCTGAGCTTCTTTCGAGAAAGTCCTCTGGAGGCTCCTTGGCTGACTGAAGACATGACTTACATCTAGCCAGCCTATGGTCTATCAGAGCTTGCAGGAAAGCCTAAACCCTAAACCCCGCATCCTAAGTCTTAAAACCTGAACCCTGAACCCTAACTCCTAAATCCTAAACCCTAACTTCTGAATGAGGTGCTAATCGCATGCCTGGAGAGAAGCGTGCGAATTTCTTCGGGTCCCCGAAACTGGACGCGCCAAGCCAGAAGCTCCGAGATTTTTGTCCTAAGGCCTCAGGAGAGCCTCCTTTTTCTGCTGGTTACCAATCCCCAAAGCCTAAACCCTACTCCACGAAAGACCCTATCGTGTTGTAAAGCATACTCCAGAGGAAAGCCCTAAACCCCAAACCCTAAACCCTCGACGACTACTACGGCGCTACTATGACTTTCTACTAAGATCGAAGGGCTGATCATGGCTCGTGGGTGTGGAAAGTGTTGTGCGTGCCATCGAAGTTGCGGGTCAGCCCATGGAAGCCCAATTATTTCGTGTGTGTGTATATATATATATATGTGTGTGTGTGTGTGTGCGCGGGTGTGTGTGTGTGTGGAGGGTGTTAATAGTTAGAATAGGGTTTTGGGTACACTATGCTATGCTTATAATAGGAACCCCTACGTATCTGGGTGAGGGATCAAAAAAAAATTGATAAGGATCAAAAAAAATTTAGAACCCGAGGATCAAACAAAAATTAAATAAGGATCAAAAAAATTTGCCCTTTGCTATATTTGATTGGCTTCAAGACCAGGGAAGCAGAGGACCACAGGACCAAGGGACCAAAGGACCACGG